CCATATCGAGCCACCGGGCAAACCACCGAGCCCCGGTGCACCCGCCGACTGCCGACGATATTTTCCTGGCGACTTTTCCGGCCAAACTTTCCGTTAAACCTCCCGGGTCCCGTTTTCCGGCCGCCGTCGACATTTTCCGGCCGGAAACGGCATTTTCGACATCCCGGGACCGTTTTGAGCCGTCGGAGCCGTCAGAAACCTTATTTTGCGGCGATTTCACCTCCTACACCCGTTTTTCATGGATTATTCACTCTCTTGGAGCTTGTACATGACTCATTGCCCAATTTTTCTTACTCTTGATACCGAGATCATCGTTCTACAAGTTACTTCACGTAGACCTACTCGTGCCATGTGTATTTGAATTGGGCGTGATTTTATTTAGTTGGGGGTGATATATACTAAGTGTGGGGGAGGTGTATCGGGGGCTCGTGAGTATATATTGAACATTTGGAGAAATTTGGCTATTGCCTTTCGGTGTGAGGCTCGTTATGCTTGAGGTTATGCTTGGCGAGTATTATCAGGGGTTCGTGGCCTGAATTTTGAGCTTTCATGCATACGTGTGTCTTCGTTGAGTTTGTGGATTCCCGGTTATTATCCCTCCGAGACGCATACATGTGGCCTTTACTCGAAGCTGACGGACGGGATTCTTTTATGCTCTCAAATTTAATAGTGCCCGGTTGGCTCATGGTCGATACGCTTTGATTGTCCAATCATTCGGATGGCTTCATTTTCACCTTTATGGCTTTCGGATGATTTTCTCTATTCCTACTGGACGAACACCATTAGACACACGGTGGAGCACCATCGTGTAGAGTACGCGCTTTCTTTTGCCTTCGTTATTTTTTTTTCTCTTTATTTTTATGTGCTATGTGTTTCTTTTCGTATTCTCGTTTGTATATATATTGTTTTATTTTGTCGATCGCATGAGCTTGTGTGTCAACGTGCTCTTTCCTATGCTTTTTTTGGGTCAAGCAATGAGGACATCACTTTGTTTTAAGTGTGGGGGAGAGATTTTCGTGATTATGCATGCTTAGGCGTCATTTCTCTTATTTTCGGTACTTATTTTTCATTTTTGTTGAGTCATGGACTGGTTTTGTTTGTTTATATTGTGTTTTGTGTCTATTTCCCCATATGAGACTTGATGTGAGTCCAATAGTGCAAATGACTAAGTGGCTAGTTTGGATTGTCGATCGTTTTCATTATTAACTCTCATGCCTTATGTGCTCAATGATTTTGACGGTTTTCATAAAATAAGAAGATTATTTGTTGGCATTGAAACTCGCATGTGGATTCACGGAACTTTCTTGTCCTTTGTTCGTTCTTGATTGATGATCTTGGTCATGCTTACCTTGTGCTTGATTATGTGTAAACGTGTTATGCTATACACTTGAGTTATGTCCTTATTGGATTGTTATGACTATGATATTGTATGTGATGTACTCTTGTGCGCCTTTCCCTTAAAAAAAAAGAGAAATAAAATGTGAGTTCGCGAGGAAGTACGGATTAGGCTCCTCTTATTCCGAGCCACTTCGTGGATTGGGATAATGAGCCCGGGAAACCGGTTTAAGAAACTCGAGGAAACCCCTCGAGGTTAAACCTAGATCATCTCATCCAGAAACTTCGTTTGGAAATAGAAGCTCACAGAAATAAGTTCGTGAGAGTCGAAAGGATTAGGCTCCTCTTGGCTCGGTTAGTCTTCTAGATAAACCGGGTTAAGGAGTACGGGAAACCGGCCTAGGAAACTCGGGGATAACCCCCGAGGATAAACATAGGTAATAATTGTCCTAACGGTTTATTTGGAAAAAGTAACTCATATATATATATATATATATATATATATATATATATGTATATATATAAATAGGGAATTGGCTCATGGTCTCGTTTTTATCATCTTGTATATTGAGTTGCCCATTTTTAGTTTTTTGCACGTGTTGTTGTATAAAGGAAGCTTGACTTGAGTGAATCATGATTGAATAACTTGGGCTTGTTTTTTTTGTTGAGTTCATATGTGGGAACCGTACCCTCGGATTTGAGTCAAGTTTTGTGAATAACCGGATGATAATGAGAGTTACATGATGCATGTTTGTTAATCTTGGACCGTTCGATTTCTCCTTTCGAACTACTTGTTATTTTGTTTGCTTGAGGACAAGTAAAGAGTTAAGTGTGGGGGAGTTGTTTATTGTGTTTTTGTCGTTATTTCCGTGTATTTTGTGTGCTTTATTTTATAATTTTAGACTCGTTTTAGTGTCGACCGGTCCATTTTATCATGTTTTGTGTATTTTTGTTATTGTATAGTGTTTTCATATTTTTGCACGTTTTCTCTTTTGTTTTGGTGTTGAATAGGTCCAATGTGTCGAAAACGAGGAGACGAGCCGTCCGAGCCGACCGAGCCGTCCAACCCAGAAAATACCGAGTCGAAGAGAATTCAATAATGAGAATTTTGGTCCAAATTTCGTGCGAATCGGAGTTGTGTGCGAAACGTTAGAGCTAAACGAAGTCGCACATGCCCGCACGCCACTACAGCCCAGTGCCCGCGAATTTCGTTTCGCGCCCGCGAAAGGCACTAATGCACCGAATCCCATCAGAACTCCGAAGTTGAGCGTGCTTGGGCGAGAGTAGCACTCAACGCATTGCAAGCGGTAGTGTCAACTTATCATATGAAGCTAAAGTTCCCTGTCGGAGATAAGGTAGGGGAGGCCCGAGGCGACCAGAGGCTGTCAAGAACCTGTTATCAGATTGCAGTAAGAACAAACCAACGAGCGGAGGTGAAGGAAGGAAAAAATTCGGTGTCAAATGAAAAGCGACGAAGGGAAAGTGATCTTGAGCCACATGGGGAATTAATGGAAATTCAAATCGGGGAGAGAGAGGAGCAGACTACGAAAATAGGGCGAGAACTAGAAGAAGAGTTACTTTGACAATTGGTGGGGCTGCTGAAAGAATTCAGGGGCATATTCGCTTTCTCCCCTGAAGAGCTAACAGGGATCGATCCCGATGTCATGAAGCACAAGCTTAATGTCGACCCCCTGAAAAAGCCCGTAAAGCAACGGCTTAGACACCATGGTGCAGAAATCGACAAAGCCATAGAAGTCGAGGTGGACAAATTGTTGAAGTCCAAACATATCAAAGAAATTCAGTTCCCAGAATGGATATCGAACACAGTGATGGTAAGGAAAGCGCTAAACAAGTGGCGTATGTGTATTGACTTTCGCGATTTAAATTTAGCATGCCCGAAGGACCACTACCCCCTGCCGAGAATCGACCAGTGTCGACTCTACTGCTGGCTGTCAATTGCTAAGCATGATGGACGCGTCCCAGGGGTACCACCAAATTCCTTTGGCTCCTGAGGACCAAAGCAAAGTCAGCTTCGTGACGAGCAAAGGGACGTATTGTTATGTTGTTATGCCTTTCAGACTCAAGAACGCAGGGGCAACATACCAGAGGCTGATGGATCGAATGTTCAAATCACAGATCGGGCGAAATATGGAAGTTTACGTGGACGATATCTTGGTGAAAAGTAGGTCCTCGATCTCGCATGTGGAGGACTTAAGGGAAGCGTTTACGATACTAAGAACATTTGGGATGAAGTTGAATCCGAGTAAATGTGCCTTTGGAGTGAAGGCGGGACGATTCCTGGGCTATATCGTAACGGAAAGAGGCATTGAAGTGAATAAGGATAAAGTGCAAGCCATACTCGACATGACCCCACCAAAGAATATTAGAGAAGTACAAGTCCTGACAGGTCGAATTGCAGGCCTAAGTAGATTCATAGCCCGGGCGGCGGAAAGGAGCTTCTCTTTCTTCAAGTTACTCAAGAAAAAAGCTTTCCAGTGGGTTGACGAGGCTCAGATGGCGTTTGAAAAAGTGAAGGAGTTTTTGAGCGAGCTACCATTGTTGACAAAGCCAGAGCCGGGCGACGAGTTGGTACTCTATATCTCGGTGGGAATCTTTTCTTTGAGTTCGGTGTTACTGCGAGAGGCTGAAGGGGCTCAACAGCTGATCTATTATACAAGTCGAGTGCTTCAGGGCGCAGAAACAAGGTATTCGGAGGTCGAGAAAGCTGCACTAACGTTGGTGCTCACAGCCAGAAAATTGAGGCCGTATTTCCTGAACCATGTGATCATAGTAAGGACAAATTTCCAGCTCGGTGAGACATTGGGCCGACCTACCGTATCAGGTCGACTCGTAAAATGGGCGGTCGAACTCAGCGAATTTTCCATCAAATATGAACCCCGACGGGCTATAAAGGCCCAAGCTCTAGCCGACTTTATCCAAGAAGGGACCAAAGCAGAAAGCAAGAAATGGATGATGCACGTCGACGGGTCCTCGTCAGCCAGGGGATCTGGTATTGGAGTCGTCCTAGTATCCCCCGAAGGTGAGCAACTTGACTTCGCCATCAGAATGGGATTTAAAGCCTCGAATAACGAAGCAGAATATGAAGCCTTGATCAAGGGGATTCAACTGGCGATCGGAGGCGGGGCAACGGAGATCGTGGCACATTCCGACTCACAGCTTTTGAAGGATTTCCCCAAAGCGAATCAATCACTATCAGAGGGATCATCCCTATCAGAAGGATCATCCCTATCAGAAGGATCATCAATATAATAAGGATCATCACTATCAGAAGGATCATCAGAAGGATCATCAGAAGGGTCTTCCCCATCGTTCGACCCAGGAGTCGGTCAAGTGCTGGGAATTTACCCTTTTTTTTTAGCACAGGAGGGTGGTCTACAATCAGGAAGCAAGTCTGACTAGCAGCGACCCTAGGATTAAGTAAGGGCTTTTTTTCAGCTGGTATTACTAGTCTTTGATTAATAGCCCCGGGAAGCTATAAAGCGGAGAAGAATGAACTTCGGGTCGCAGGAGCTATCCATTGACTGGAAGAAAAAGACAAGTAGATAGAAATCGGCTTGTCGTGGGGCAAGTGTTGGGGAACTGCGAAATTAAGGAGGATCGAATGATGAAATATGTCGAAGAGATCCAGAGTTTGGTACAAAATTTGGAAAAATTTGAACTAACGCAAATACCTCGAGAAGAAACAAGCGAGCCGATTGGCTCGCGAGGATGGCAAGTTCAAATGAAGGAAAGATGGGAAATCAAATCACTACCCTGCATTTGGAGGGGAGCGCTCT